CGGGAGGATTTCCACCTTTAGCAGCTTGTTCAAATAACAAAAAAGCTTTTCTGTAATCTTTTTTTGTTCCCATTCCAACTTCATAACAATAACCCAATTCATTCATTCCACTAACATTACCACCATTTGCAGACTTTTTATAACATTGAAAAGCCTTATTAACATCTTTTGAAGTACCTTCACCAAAAGCATAACAAATTCCTAAACTAAATTGAGAACCAGTACTTCCATTATCAGCAGCTTTTTGATACCATTCAAAGGCCATATCACGATCTCTAGTAGTTCCTTGACCAGAATAATAACAATCACCAAGTAAGTCTTCAGCAATTGAATAACCTTTTTTAGCAGCAGATAAATATAAACAATAGGCCTTTCTTTGATTTCGATTTGTTGCAATACCTTGATCATAAAAATAACCCAAGAGAGTTTTATATTTATCTTTATGGGTATTATTTAAAAGCCAATCAAATATTTGAACAGAATCAAGACATTTTGAAGAGAAATAATCCAAGATAATATCAACACTTTGAGCCTCATTTTTTCCATCTTGTCTAGCCTTTATAAAATTGTCACATAATTCATCAACAAAATTTCGAAGTACATCATTTAAATCACGGTCTATATAATTTAAATTGTGAAGAGAGATCGTAGAAGATCTTGAAGGTTTTGGACTGTGACACCTTGGAGGACTTGAGGAAGATGTAACAGAGGATTTTGAAGATTTTGTGGACTTTCTAGGAGTTTTTGAAAGACCAAGTGACGATGGAGAACGGGTCATTTTTTTTTAAAGTTTTGTAATACAATCTGTAGGATTATTGCAGAGATGTGTGATGCAAAAAGGAAAAAATAAAAAATTTGAAATCAAAATGGGAGTTAGATTTTTCTTATACGAGAAGCAAAAACCGATTAAACTTTCAAATTATATTGATCTGGAATGTTGAAAAAAAGTAAAAATTGTCGGATAAATGGCTGTGCGATTATTTTAATTTCATTATAAAATATACATGATCATTAAATCTCGTGAAAATCATGACTTATTTTGTTAAAATTGATTACACATGGTTTCGCATGCTTAAAAAAAAAAAGGAGATTACTACCGATAAATAATTGACAATATTTTACAATATTTATGAATAATTATTTACTTACTAAATCTGATAAAAATATGCATTAAGGAAGAATTATATTTCCAGTTTCAATTGTTTGAGAGTTATAACCGAATAAAAATTAGGAAAACACAATAGAAAAAGAACGCCAAAACTTTTTACTATTAGGAATTTAGTCATGCAGATTGATATAATTTTTTTTTGACAAGGATTTTTTGGGTTAATGATATGATTGAAAATACCAGTCCTTTGACGGAAATTTAATGATGAATATAATATTCCTTGTGTAAACCTTTTATTTATAGCAATAATTTCTAAATACGTATTTGTGTTGTGTTCGGGGGCTTCCCTTTCTTCTCAGAAAATCATACTGTCTGCGGTTAGTTAGTTTTACAAGGAATTCTATACTCATCCAATTCGGAAACTTTTAAAAAATTAAGCATGAAAAATTCACCTATCACAATGCAAGCTTTGACAAGATGTGTAATCATCGACGTATAAATTTCCTTGTTTGTAATCGGAATTCGCTATAAGTATATGACCGAGCAAAATTAATTTGTGCGGCACATGTTCTAAGATTTTTCTTGTTACATGAGTGTACTGTCCTAGCTTAACATTAATATTCTTTATTGCAACAGATTAAATGAAATATTTATTAATAAACAACTTTTAAAAATCAGTGTAATACGTACGTACTTTATTTTAATCTCTTACGTACGTACGTACGTACATAATTCCCCGATCACTATATTAAGATCACTAGGGATTATCGCTATTATTACTAACATTTCATATAATAATTCAGGCCCCCGAATGCATGATTACTGAATTCATAATTCACATGCATTTCAGAATCGTAAATATATATGTCTGAATGTATGAATAGCAAATGAGTTTTTAATCCGGTTAAGATTAGCTTAATCGAATAGATTTAATTCAGTCAGTATTAAGATAATTTTGGTCAATGACCAAAATAATTCAGTCCAAAACTGTGTTAAAATAAACTTAAGGCTTTGATGGATTGATCATAAGATTCACTATGATCAGTTACAGGTTTTTGCTCTGCAGCACTCATGTATGTAAATGGTTTTTTTTTTAAGTAAAATGTAAAATATTCATAAGAGGTTAATCAGAAGAGGTTATTCATAAAGAGGTTTAAGTTATTTTTAGAGCATCACGTCATTGTTTTACTATATACATTTTTACGCACCATCGCTACGTATTATTGTATATTTATAACAATGCCGTTAATAAGGGTGATGCTCCTGATGTAGGGCTATGAAGGGTTCTGAAAAGGATTTGTCCATTGAGTCAATAGATAATAGATACGATTTATGGAAATTCATTTGACCTGCTTTGACGGGATCATGCGGCAAAAAGGCATGAGCTGCAAACAAATAGATTTTAAAAAAACTTTCATTGTGCTATTCAATTTCGATTTACATTCATATTCATTCAAAGTTGCTCCTTTTGTACGTATACAAAACTATCCCAAAATTGAATTAGCAAACTTTTATACATAATAGCTAATGTACAATGAAAACTCGTTGTATGGTATCAAAGGAGATAATGCGTACGTACGTATTTCATTGTAGACTACATAAGCTGCTTAGCATATGTAGTAAACTTGAAATTTTTTTGTGATTTTTTTTTTCTATTCACATATATTTCTTATCTATATTTTTTATTTTCTATTATCCTTACAACAAATGAAAGGAATAACAAGAAACAGTGTTTATTCTATATCAATTTAGTTCGTAAACATAGATTTCGTTACAGATCCTCTCATTACTGCATTATAATGAACATTCATTCATAGAATATAACGAGCAGATTAGAGTGGACGGGGAAATGTGATGTGCATATATGTGCATATGTGACATGTTTTTCGTGAATCATATGTGAACAT